ACAGGGTATCCCTCAGTAATGATGATCAGATTCTGCAGGAGTGGCAGTTAGCTTGTAGCTACTCCGTCACCCACATACTTTACTGTTCAGCTCACAGTTGCTCCCTGGATCACGAGACTTGTCTTTTTTCATGTCCACAACCACGCCACATTAAGGTGACTCATCAGACGTCGGTTGTCTGCACAGCCTAGTGAGCGTAGCAACCACTCATGTACCGACGCGCCCACGTACACGCGAACGGACCTACATTTGGGGAAACCGAACATAGTCAGCACACAGACTCGCGCGCGCCCAGGGAGCAGAAAGTCGACTACTCTCCACAGTCCACGGACAATTATGGAGTACGTGTAGCAGTCGTACTGCGGAGAAAGCAGGTTCCCGCCGTCCGGACTTTCAGCAAGGAACTCTCACAGATGATTGGTTCTTGTTTTAAATCGCTCCCATTTCGCATTGTATTCATTTTATTACGTGTGGCAACCCACTACACTCAACCATACTAAAAGCTTTTGTCAGTGCATACACCTTCTGGTTTGTGTTATGACCATCCTTAGCAGTGCACTAATAAGCTATCATGTTATCTGATGGGAGTGTCAGCATGTCGTGTCTGTGCACTCTGTTTCAGGATTTTAGTGATCCCCTGCAAAATGTCCACTAAATACAACGAGCTAAAACTCCATCTAGGAGATTTTAGGATCTCTTGACCGCCCGAAAGTAAAACCCGCATAAAGTGGTCACTGTAGAGGGTACCTTAAGGGTTGTGGGAGCACCCATTCATCTATATAGCGTACATTTAGTTACAGGTTCCGGTGGGGCTGGCAGGCCTGAACGGTTTTCCTTGTTTATTAGGAGAATGTCAACAATTTTACCTCCGACAAACCGGGTATCGAACAATATCAGCCTGTCCCCATCTGGCGACTGAGCAGTACATCTGTCAACATTTCGTCACTAGTGTTGGTGGACGACAGTTCCATCTCAAAAAACGCCGATGACCGCTAAAAAACGTTGCACTTGGTGAAACTGCCGCAATTTCTCATTTGAAAACGTTATTCTTTGGAAAAAAACTAGGGCTGTGTTTTACTTAGAACATTGTGATGGACCACCATGAAAATCCTATCTTACGGGAAAACTTTTTAGGGTAATTCTCGTTTGCTAAGATCTGACATGCCAGTGTGCCGCTATCCCGCGACACCCAGTGTCCTATTAGACATAACCAGGGGACGCAGATATGAAGGAAGTATCCAGCTGGGTGGGATGTGTTGGAGCTGAAAATAAAAGGACTGTTTCCCAATTCGTAGGGAGCATACCAAATGATGCACAATAGAGTTTTGTGGCAGCGTGCGCCATTGGTCTTTGTGGAGATTTTGGTTTTCTGTTTACGTATGAACCATCAGTGGCTGGGGCCTTCGAAATATCGCTTAACTAAGAAACAGCCGTCAACAGCATCACGCCGAATGGCGCAGTCAGGCGAACTGCTGCTCGCACAATTCTCCGTTATGGTTTTGGCGAAATTAGGTGCGTTTGACACGCAGCAGCCACCCAATACCTAAAAATGTAAGATTCCCGCTCTGGTCAGATCGCTGAATTTCGGCCAGCTGGAAGTCTGTTTACAGGTCACATTTCCAGTTCTGTGATCTCATCACTGAACATGCAAACAGCAGTTGGCTGTTCACATTCTTGCAATATTCTTGCAGTATTTTTGCAATAAAAATTCATCGGTGAGCTTGCAGAAGAAGTAGGCCAGTGTCTGCACAGTTGGATTAACTGAAGATTGGGACGTTGTAAATTGAGCAAATGAATGGTAAAAATGGATGGAAATTGACAAAGGGTTTGCATTTGGTCAAACCGGCTTGCCACTGGGATGCGATTCTTTTCTATGTAAATTAGTGCGTGAAAGCCTCGGAATTTGTGGACATTTGCCGCATGTACACCTGAGGGATTTCCATAACTAGTTGTTAGTGGCTTCTGGATCCGTTGAATGCGCGTTTGCCCCATTGTTGTTTGAACAATCGCCCTATTGTCCGAGCACGAACATTTTGATTAGTTTATGGTAAAGGAGGGAAGGACTTGGTTTGACTTTTGTCCTTATACCAGCTCACTAGCGGTGCATATACTTGCCGTGCCGGAGTTTGAAATTCGCAAATCTGACATATGAGGCCAGGGTTGCACCACCGCCCCACTAGAGGCGTTGTACGCATCTGAACTTTTGAGGCTGAGTAAGTGAATTTGTTTACTTTTGAGTGATGTGAGGGGGTTGGCGTTCAGTGCTGACGGCTCCAGTGTCAGCTATCATCTGGAGCAGGTGTGGTGATTAAATTAACTTTTCTGCAGCGCGGCTTCCACCGTTGTCTTCAGAAATATTTTCGGTCAAAGAGACTTAGTGAGTGTGGTTTTGTCAATAGCTATATGTTCTGATATTTCGGTAGAAGATACCTCTTACTAGTTATCAGAGTGCCATGGTTTTGGCCAAAAAAGACCGTAAGATGTATAAAGAGGTATAAGCTGTTTCAAGTCCATGGCCAGCATCGTAGAGAATACTGTTGGAGGCAGTGAACCAAGATACTCAAAAGTAGATATCATACGTGAATACTGCAAGGTCTGGACTACTCGTGAACTGGCAATATTATTGGAGACATAGAAAATGAAGCAGCTGGCACTGACTAAGGACTGGTCAGTAGTAAATCTGAATAAGCATTGTGGATACTTTGTCTTTTTTTTCTGAGCAAACGGGTCAGTAGACTTTTTGAAGGCTGAGCGCGCAATCAACAATGAGGCAATCAGTAGGGTCAGAATAGACACAAAGAGTATGCGGGGATATCCGAAACAACAGTGATACAAATGTACACATATGGGCAGTCAAAAGTCCGAATATGCGGTGTACATGGATAACGGTGCAGAAGGCAGTCAGTATGTTTGGGAGATTTTAAAAATCAAAAGGAAACAGGAACTACCCAGAATATTAGCTATCAAGTGAATACGGCACAAGAGCACATAAGAACTCCGGCAAGAATGACTTTATCGGAACGATAGTTTGGACATATCAGCAACCAACAACCAAACCCAGAACACTCCACAAGGACGACCAGATTTCAACAAATGCACTCAACCGATCACGTATGCATTCAACTACTTAGCTTACTTGCTATAACATACAGCTATAACACATACATTTCGAGTGACTTGCCTACGTTAACGGAACCGAAGACGGCCGAAGGCCAGATACTAAGTGGGAGGACTCGTAGGTCGCTTTGAGCTGTGAAAATTGACACTGGAGAGCTAACATCCTCACCTACTATGTAACGTTCAAGTGGAGGGAGATGCAAGACTAGTTTATCTTTATACACCAAAAAAACAAGTCGTAAAAAGACCAACTACTACCGCATTTTTAGCCATCTGCTTACGGAGAGTAAGGTCATTTTTCGTATCTTTCTCAATAGAGGAAAACATTCTCTGTGAACAGCGCGGGTATCAGCGATGTAAGGGCATGATAAGTTCAATCAATGCTGTATGAGGACGCAAGAAGAATACACTAAGCGAAGCCATACGCTTAAATTAATATGTGCGGACGTCATCAGTTAACGGAGAACCAACGTGGACTGGTTAACCGGTTTGTTTCATTCCTTCAGGGATACTGTAGACCTCGTTTTCTCCTTTCTATTTTGGGTAACCTGTCACTATTATACTCCTCATGCTTTCTTCGGATGGACTGGCTGCTAGGCACCGAAAGTATGTCGAAGCTGATGGATCTGTCACGAAGAGACTGGATCTTGGTGTGACGGACTGTGCCCATTGGCGACCCAGTAATCTATACTTGAAGTTTTCCGCGCAGCACTCGCAACCTCTTATGCCAGGTTGGTCAATGGTTAGAGTTCTGACAAACACAGTCTCCTGTTCTTTCAGGTTGGGGATTGGAACATGCTTGTTGCCGTGTTTCCTGAAAAAAGTTAATGTTCTTGCACTGCCAGTCAAAGACTACTGCTTTGCGGTCAGGCTTTTGAACAAAAGGCTTTGATTGTGGACACCAGTCGTTCTCCTGTCTATTTGTGGGCGCCTTGGCAGTATTCCAGTCAATTTACGATCATAAACTTCACATATACGAATAAACTCATGTCACGTCGGCCGTCGCATGGTGCCATCAGCCGGGTCGCCCTAAGCGGTGCACACAGCAGAGCGGATAATCGAAAACATGCTGCAACTGACACCTCCCTTTTTCTCTTTCACATACTTGTTTTTCCTCCTCTTCCCACCCTATTACTAACTCTCCTCGTAGGCTCAGCACTATATATATTCTCATTGCACGTTTTGGACAAACATTTTCTTCCCGTTGCGTCCAATAGCCTGTTCTTTAGTCGTAAGACTACGTCATTCTCATTAACCAACAAGTGCTTCTGGGTATTCTTGTTTGACCTACAGTGAGAATCGAAGTATCTCTGTTTACCTTAAAGCTCGAACTACCTCATAGGAATAGAAAACTCGAAATTAACTATGTTCTCAAAACCCTACCAAAATAAAACTGGTCGTATTTTTTTAATGTGGAATTAGGTGTCCAACGATCGGCTTTTACTGGAAGACGGCATACATATTGTTTTGGTAGGTTTAGTCATTTGAATAGCTCAACTGAACAGCTTTTTCGAAGTTCTGTTATGGCCCCAAGCCTTTTAAAACCAAACAGATTTACTGAAAATCTAAAGTACCGAGTTACCTATCGAGTCGCCTGAGGTTGTGTGGTAGCGGAATTTCGGGAACATGTGAATCATGACTTGCCCATGTTCATGGTGTCAAGGACCGAGAAGTAATCTCACGAATCTCACTCCAACCATCTGTTACTAATCAATTCTTAAGTAGCTTCGGTTGTTTAAGAAAATTATCACCTTTTAACCTGTACGATTGACCGGTTTGGACCATGTGTGACCAAACCTTTATTTTACTTTCATTCAAACTCTAATTCGTCGAAAAATGAAGTAGGCTTAAGCAGGATTTGGACCACTGTCAAAACACGTAAATTTTTGCATACTTTTAATAAGAATTTTGAGTACAGCTTTGTTGGTTCAGTGGTAACTTTTTGCATGCAGTATATTGGAGTTCCTCTACTTGCATTTCAAGATGCATTTTCGGCTGCAGCACTCGGATGAATTCAGGCAAAATGCGCCAACTGGTAGGCACCTTTTGCATGTTCCTCTGAAGGCACCCGTCAGATAACAAATCAGCTCTCCGCAACAGTGCGTTTTCAACGTCTTGCTGCATTCCATTCCTTCTTCCATGCAGCTCACTGTAGAACGAAAAGGAAGAGGCAAAGGATTGGACATTATTCACAGAGAAGCTATTCCCATTACAGTTAACTTGGCACAACGTCCGCCAAATTTGTGTTAAAGCTTCCAAGAACAAGGAAACCATGGTCAACAGGGCGGCATAAAAAAAATTGAATTTTCATTCCACCACAAAGACTACAGCGCAGTCTACGCCCGTGTAAAATCGGATAAGATGTATGATCCTTGGCCTTTTTCCCACCAGAAGTTGAGGTAATCACCAGAAATGTATTCTGTACTGGTGGTTGTTACTTCGTGATGCAAACCAATTTTAGACCATTTTGCGACAGAATTTTTTCATTGATGGAATTTCCATGCAGTAGCTTCAGGTCACGTATGAACGGACTTGTTCTTAACACATCTCGCGAGGAAAGGAAAGGCATAAAACAGGAATGTCCTTCACTGTTTGAAGACCCCGGACAGGTGGTAATAAATCCTCATTGGTAAGTCAATCTTGACTGTTCACAATTAATTCTCATGAACTGTCCGATGGCGAGCCACATATGGCCTGCAATGCTGTGTAAAGTAGTGTCAAAACCGAGAACTCGCAACAGTCCGGTGAAGTTCATTTACTAGTTGTATTTAGTGTATTTAGTGTATTTAGTGCAAATGGAAGGTCTCCTTGGAACTAGAAAACAATGGTGGGCAGTTGAATAGAAATCAAAACAGTGCTATAGAGTCAATAAGCCTGCAAATTTAGATGAGTGGGTTAATGTATCAGTCGTAATTAGTTCTGCAGTGAAACTCCCCTGAATGGCTTATGTGATGGCGATCAATAGGTGGACAGGCGAACGAACAAATTGGCTTCCAATTGTATACAAGCGTGCCCTAAATATTTGCTGAAAATTTGTTCAGTACTACAAACGCACAATACGTTTGCGGCGAATAAGGTTTACTTGAGTGTACGACACCTCTAAGTGGAATGAGCATAATCCTAAAAGTGATTACGGTGGTTAGGTGGCTCAGTGGATAGAGCATGAATTTACTGACCGAAAGGTCCTGCCTCTCGACTTCCCTTGTCTAGGCCTAGGTAGCCTGGTGGCTTAGCACTTAGGCCACGAAAGGGTGTCACAGCTGAGCTGATTAGATTGCATGCAATGGGAGTCTGAACAAGCAGGATGAAAGTGAGTAAGTTAACTGAAAAAATGTAAACCTGTATAGACATGTTGGTTTTTTTGAAGACTGTCTGCATTGCTGAATGAATGAAGCGAGAAGGAGTTCGTTAGATTTCAAGCGTGATTCTAGGCCCTCTGACTTGTTCGTACAGGCCTCTAGTTGCTTTGGAATTATCGAAATGCTTTGTTTGAACAACCTAATCATTTTTATAGGACTAGGCAGCTAGGAATCGATAAACTTCGAGTCTGACTGAGCATTTATAACAGAAAATATCTAACCTACTGTCTCTGTAGACTTAAAGGCAAACGCGGGGTGCGGAGGTAACAGCCAGTGATTTCTAATCACATTCAAATATCGAAAAAATGAGTGAACATGAGGAATAGCCCCTGTATTCGCTGAGCTTCTGGACGCCGACAGTTGTGTATTGCAGGCGTTTCCAAACTGCTTAGTTAGTAGATTGATTTGGGAAGTAGCAGTAGCAGACAGTTTAGCTGGATAAAATGTTACCCTAAGTGAACGCGTGGAACACGGTACTTGGTGCACTTTTCGATATAAACTCGCCTCCGTATGGGATTTCACCTCTGAAGGTGCTTTCTCCAATCAGAGGGCTCAACTTGGATAAAACGTCCATCTCAGTCCTTATCAGCATGTTTTCGAGGGGCTAATAAGGCAAGCTGGATGCAGATCCCTCAACAACGTGATAAGCTGATAAACTAACCCTGTTTTTGGTATTACCAGTTGCCTGAATGCTGAACTGCATACCTGCCCTATCTAAGGAGCCCAAAGAAGGATGGAACGGGCGATACCAACTGAAGTGTTTTCGGCATCATTATGTGTGATATATTCCGTCAATAAAACTATACTTCCCCTAGTTATTTCGAGGGAAAAAAGGGCACGGATGTGTTGCACCATAGCTTGGGTCTCATCCGAAACAGTCAACGCACTCAGAACTTGTCAAAGCTAATAGCAAGCCGTTCTGTCCCGACAAAAGCCTTTACTATTCTCGAGGCAGCAAAGATTGTAGATAACTCGGTGGTTAATGTGCGAACCTACCAATCGAAAGGTCCATGGTTTGAACCTAACCGCAACATTCCGACTGTTTCTGTCTAGTCATGGCAAATCTGGAAGTATCCTGGCTCTCCTGCTTCCTTTCTGTGTCATGGTGTCTAGGCATAACAAGTATCTTGCAACTGGACGATGAGTATTGTTGCAAATCGTACTTTTTACAGCTGTCAGTAACGGGACCAGTGTAGCCTAGGTCATTTCTGTCACCTTTCCGGTAACAGGATGTCAACATAATATCCATATCTATACTTCAGCTACACATGCTTCCTACTAAATCAGGTGTTTTACCCGAGATTCTCTCAAGGAGTACATTGAATTCGGAATGAAATGAACAATTATACTGAACGTTTGCTTGGACCTTAGTCTGTTGTCAAGGGAATGGTAATTATCATAATCTCATGAGGTTAAGAGACACCTAGAATAAATAAATCACCAATTAAATGTCGTTCGGGGTCCGGAGCCCAATGCAGAAGATAAAGTATTCTCTTGATTTCGTACCCATTCAAGAAGTTTCTATTTTTAACTATAACCATGACAGGAATTTCAAGCATTGAGACTTACTTTAGCTGGTGACGAAATTGGAGGTCTGCGATGAATAAACAAATTGAGCACAAGAGTACCCAAACTCCCTAAGAAGAAAGTATTACAAACCAGCTGTAGTTAACATTCAATTCTTCAGTTTTAAGACCACTCCAGTCAGTTAATCAGGTAGTCACTTTCTCAGCTGTAAACAATGTACAGCCGATTAATTTTTATTCATGAAGGCTGAAAAGAATGACAGAATAAGAGTCATTCTTTAGAGGGGTGTCTCAATCAGTTCACTTGCACAGCCCGAGATAGGAGGGCTACGCACTGAATGGAGACGTTGTGGTGTTGAATAATTATCGGTTGTGTGACAGAGCCACATCTGTCACGGATTCCAGCCAATTAGTTACCTTTCTCCAGGGACTCTATCCAGAGGAGATCGTAATTACCAGTGCTCCTGAGTTGACGAAGAAGTATTTCCGTTCCTCGTTTTCACATTTAATGACCATCCATGGAACGTCCCGCCTCACATGCAGTGGGAGAAAAAGGCTGTCTGAGTCAAGCAGTTCTCTTATATAAGAAGTACATTACTCAAACAAACCGTTAAGTTTGACAGATCGGTCTACCGCGAGAGGGATGTTTTTGCCCAGAATCCTCTGATGAACCACAGCACCAGTGATCACATATCCTCTAACAGATCCGCACTATTCCTCGAGGCACTTAGCGTCAAACACAGAGCCTTCAACAATATGCACGCAGCTGCAACATCCCTTGCTCGTAAAGTAGGGTAGGACGTCAGGAAATGGCGCGCTCTACATTCCCGACAGTCAAAGTGGCTACAATTCGGATTCGTAAAAGTGATCTAACTCTTTTGGTTCGGACGGTGAGTTCAATTTTAGGCATTCTGCCCGCTGTACGGATATCAAAACCATTCGAGCAACTTTTATTTGAAATGATCTTGAGAAACGAAGAGACCGCATTACTTGTTAAATGATTCGAGTTCTGACTGTATGTTGGCGGAATCCTATTTTTACGTTCAAGAGCGCTTCGCAAGTTTTCAGGCTATTCTGGCAATTTCTGCTAACATCAAGCAAAAACTACTCTTGGCAGTCTACAATTGTAAGTTTTCTCCCCAAAATTTGGAAGAAACATCCCTTTTCCGGTACTTCCCATGGTTCGGAGAAATGCACCTGTGCTGGCGCACGAGGATAGCAGAGTTTGTCCTCAAAATTGCTTCGACCTCGAAACGTTACCTTCGTCTCTATCATTCGTAGATACAACATAGACGCAGTTAATTAACCACCATTTCCCGTTTTCATGAAGACAGCTTATCAATCCGCATTAATCCCCAAAGGATGCCAGTGAGCACTAGTCATAAAATTTAGTCGGATTTTGTGTGGGATAAGGTCTCAAAACCCTCTGCTTGTTGATGTTTTTCATCGGCTGTACGCTTGAGTGGTTATGCAAACTGATTTCGGATATTCTCGAGTAATTTTGGTCTAATCTTACTGTACAGCCTTTGAACTGTGCACTTGGGACCCAAAGTGCATTTTTTGCACAGTGTTACCAATATCATCACAAGTAGCACTGTTGCGAGTCAGACACGTTCTACTTAATACACCTTCGATACGATAGGTTGGATGCTTACAGAGTACAACCTCTGGACTCGGAGACAATAGCTTTGAGGTAGTATGCATGATACACAAACCACACAATGTGTTGTCAATATCGATAATCAATCAGATTTTTAGTAACATTGTACGAGACTTTTGTTCATTTTGTTGAGGATGTATCAAACCTGCAGTGCATTTTCTCTTGGAACTGGTTAAATCCCTGAAGTTGTGCACATAGTTTGCATCAGGTTCAAAAGAACAATATTTCAGGCGCTTAAAAGTTTTCAATGTGAGCTTGAAAACATCGGATGGAGGTGCCGATCACAAAATGATGGCACATCTGTCATAACTGGAATGACGGGTAGTTTGTAGTGATGGGTTAATGAACCGGTGATTGATTATTTATGTTGCAATGCTTTTTGCAGGTTAACTTCGAATTGGATGTCCAACTATCCAGATTCACTAAATACATGAATTTGCTGGGTTTTTACTGCTACAATGTGTTTATCGATAATCAATCAGATTTTTAGTAACATTGTACGAGACTTTTGTTCATTTTGTTGAGGATGTATCAAACCTGCAGTGCATTTTCTCTTGGAACTGGTTAAATCCCTGAAGTTGTGCACATAGTTTGCATCAGGTTCAAAAGAACAATATTTCAGGCGCTTAAAAGTTTTCAATGTGAGCTTGAAAACATCGGAAGGAGGTGCCGATCACAAAATGATGGCACATCTGTCATAACTGGAATGACGGGTAGTTTGTAGTGATGGGTTAATGAACCGGTGATTGATTATTTATGTTGCAATGCTTTTTGCAGGTTAACTTCGAATTGGATGTCCAACTATCCAGATTCACTAAATACATGAATTTGCTGGGTTTTTACTGCTGTTTGTCCAACTTGCGGATGACCTGCATAAAACAGTGCTTCCGGTGGAGGTTTGACGATTGGCCAAACGCCTGAGGAGCTTAAAAGGAGTGGTGTATTGATCATGAAATTTAGTGTCTAGCGGATCCGCAAATAACGCAAGCCACGCAAGGTCAAATGATTCCCTGAGAGTAAGAAACACCTGAGATACATGGCTTCAGATCTTTTAAATTCACGAGTTGTAGATAAATTAAATACTTTCCCACCTACAAAGTCTGCATTTAACAAGACAAACAAGGCATATTTCATTGTGAAGATATCGTTAGTCTCTGTTCAGTTAAAATCCACAGAAATGACCAGAAAATATGCAACCACTGTTAGATACAAGGCAGAAGACCCTCAGGGAAAAATGAATTCAAAATTCCTGGATATGTCAGGGCTTTTCAGGCACATTCTATGTCGCTTCACCCAAAGTCTACCTTTGCTCGACAAATGCAAGGCACAAAGTCTAGCTAGGACTCGAAACATCTAAGTTGAATATGAACAGGTTTCTCGGTCCACCTCGTGAACTAAAATTCTGAATAAACTGGGATTTATGTGGAACGTCAGCGGTCTGCTGTTTTTTCACTCTCCCATATGAACCATAAGCGATGGACCGCATGGTAGATCGTTTTGACCAATCTTAGTCAGGGGAAAAGGAAATAAACTGTATATATTGTTTTTGGATAACATTCATAAATCCATACAGAAATATTCCTGAAACAAAAAAGCGTCTCAGCTTCGGATTTGATATTCTAGACTTGATAAGTAAACTACTTGTTCCGGTAGCTTGTTGAGGACTCAGAAAAAGCACTTTTTATAAGGTGGAACTAGGGTGGAAAGGTCTTGAAATAAGAAGTCCAAGTACAGTGCTCATAACTTTGCTGAAAGCCCTACGACAACAATGACCAACTTGGCCCTTCTGTAAATTAATCAAGGACATCTTCGTTTCAACTATATTATTTACATGAACACCAATTTGTACGCAGATGGCGAATTACATTCATTCGTAAATTAGGTATTCTTTGACGGGAAACTGGATTGTATCCATTCTGACTCCCTCGCTTAAGGTATTTTCCAACTGATTGTACTGAACAAAAACGCCACATGTTTTGGTTGGTATGACACTCGAGATTTCATTGTGTGCTCATGATTGGTTTCGTCCTCATTAGGTCTAATTAGGTAGGAGAGTTCTGTACATCCATCCAGGCCACTAGTAAAACCAAAACTCGTTTTCTGCGCCTGTCTCCCACGCTTTTATATGACCCTGCACCTAGTCTCCTTGCCCAGCCAATAGAAAGCCCATGGAGAATGGTCGAGATGAAGTTCAACATGGGTGAATTTCACTCAGCAATAAGGCCGCCTTCCAAAGTTAGTTAAAATCCAATACGGCAGTGAATCCATACAGATTTTTGCCGAACAAAATTTCAAGCACTAGGTTTGAAACAAATATTTTCGTCCTAAATGATGAAATCCTGTTTCAAAATATGAGTGGCTGAGTGAATGTGGATCTCTCGTCAACACCCTTCGGGTTTTTTCTTCGAAGTTATCACACCTGGGTGATGGAGCTCTGAAATGTAGTCGTTTATTTTCACCACAAATTTAGCGTAGTGAGACACCAGGGGTTCGTTTTCCTTGCTAGAAGACAGGGGAAAACCTTCCGGAAGAGGGTAATTCGATGGCAGTTGTGGCACCAGTTTTCAAAAATATCGATTGTCCCACCGTTGTTAAAATTTAGGAAGCCAGATAAACCCACGCTGATACAGATGCACAGGTCAAATTAAATTTGGATTGCAGTTGGTAATGCAATGTTTCCAAGCCACTGTGATTAGGAATGAAACATATCAGTGAATTCCTACTGTATAGAAGACATCTTTTAGGATGAGTTGGTACACTACAACGTAAGGTTTAATAGTCCTCAAAATATTCCTTCAACAACAAGGATTTGACACTTGATACAGGATCAGTCATACTCAATCGGCTGTTGAATCTTGAATAAAACTTTATACCTTCGAAATATGAATGCTTATTTCTTGTCGAAAATCATCTCGTTTGTTGACGTTGTGGTCCTCACTTCAACTGTTTGTGGTTTAGGATGCGTTTTCACTAGGTTTACTTCCGTTAATAATGATGCAATATAAACAAGTGTTCCTCACACCCTTACTTGACCTGGCTTCCTTTTTCAAAAAAACTGTCAGTAGTTTGCAGTGAAATTTAGGGTAACTTAACTGTCAGTGGAATTCTGCTTTGTGGACACAAATAAGGATTTCATGTAGGCAACGGAAACTCGGTGGAGATTAATGTAGAGCATTGTATAATTAAGCAGATTGACAAAAATATGATTCCGTTTTCAAAATTTCTGATGGTGATAAACATGAGTTCCATGTAGGTAGTCCAAGTAAACACGGAAGTCTGTTTTCTCTTCCTAAAGGTTGGAAAACAGTTGGTGAATTTATGATCTGTGTTTCTGATCGAAGATCGGCCGTCACCCGGAGCATCCGACTACCACATTTTGGCACATCATGAGGAGATAGGAATGACCCACTGGAAGGAGCCATCAACACACCTCTGTA